GTGAAAATCTCCGAACCGGAAGTGACGTCATCAAAATAAAAAAAATTATTTCTAGATTTTTTTATGTTCTATCAGACCTGAAAGTTTCATGAAAATCCATTGAGCCGTTTCCGAGAACTTGCGTGCACAAAATCGGTAAGAAAAAAAATAATAATAAGAACTAGAGCAAAGCTCGTTGCAAAGCAACGAGTAGGTCTTCCGTCCTGTTTTGACCGGAAGTGACGTCAACAAATGAAAGCAAATGAGCTAAGTGGTCTCCATTGACTTTATAATTTTGATTTTGTATTTAAACCTTCAAAAATAAGCTATTTTTGGCTACTTCCGGTCACTTCCGGTTTGACCGGAAGTGATGTCAACGGACAGAAAATGAAGTTTTATGCTTCCAGATACATATGTTACACAAAAATATGTCAAGAAAGGCAAAAATATGCATATTCTGACGACTTCCGGTGTGACCGGAAGTGACGTCGCCGGACGTATTTTGACGACTTCAACAGATTTAGCTTGACATTTTGAACAACTTTGCTTTTTAGACGTATAACAAATTCTCAATACTTTTTGAGATATAAATGAAAAACCTTCGGCCCCTCTAGGCCCTTTATTTTAGGGGCCAGCCCTTTTTACGAGATATCATTTGAAAGATCATGTAATTCTACACTTCTTTTGTTCTATATGTCTTAACAAAATATTTGTATGTGAAAAGATATCGAAGAAAAGGTGTTAGAAATTTTAAAATTCTCGACATGCCCATTTTTGGACCATAGCGAGCGTCGGCGTGCAGCACTTCCGGTAAAAATGAAATGCATATGTCACATCTACAGACATTGCTCTATCATTGCTCAAAAAACTCAAGTTTCTATCTTAAGCCGTTTTTGAGAAAAGTCGCGGACAAACTGACCCCCTGAAAATCACTAAATCGCAAAAATCTCAAAACCGGAAGTGACGTCATCAAAACAAAAAAATATATATCAGCTTTGTTTGATGCTTTATCAGTCCTGAAAGTTTCATGAAAATCGAGCAAGCCGTTTCTGAGAAATCGTGTACACAAAATCGGTAAGAAAAAAAAACAATAAAAATAATAAAAATAGTGGAAAAGAAACCTAAGAATAGCAAGAAGGTCTTCCGCTGAAGACGGAAGACCTTAAAAATAGTGGAAAAGAAACCTAAGAAAAACAATAAGGTCTTCCGCTGAAGACGGAAGACCTTAATAAGAAACAAAAGAATAACAGTAGGGTCTTCCGAAGGAAGCGGAAGACCCTAAAAAGAATAATAAGAACTAGAGCCGAGCTCGTTGCACAGCAACGAGTAGGTCTTCCGTCCTGTTTGACCGGAAGTAACTTTCATTTAAAAAAAAAGTAATGATGTCCAAAAATGGGTTAATCCTCCAAATCTATGTTAAGTATAGCAAACTTAAGCCATTCTTAGGTACTTCCGGTTTGACCGGAAGTGACGACGACGGACGGAAAATTTATATTTAAGCTTCTAGTGAGACATGTTACCCAAAAACCTGTCAAAAACGGCAAAAATATGCATTTTCTGACAACTTCCGGTTCGACCGGAAGTGACGTCGCCGGACGTATTTTGACGACTTCATTAAATAAAGCTTGATATTTTAAACAACTTTGCTTCTTTGATGCATAACAAATTCTCAATACTTTTTGAGATATCTGTAAAAAACTTTTGGCCCCTCTAGGTCCCTTAATTTAGGGGTCAGCCCTTTTTTCGACATATCATTTGAAAGATCTTTTAATTCTGCACAAATTATGTTCTATATATTTTAACAAAGTATTTTTAGTTTAGAAGATAAACAGAAAAATATCAGTAATTTTTGGTTCTTTTAAGCGTTCTAATTTTTGACCCCTATATAGCGCCATTTTGATTACAGAAATCGAAAAACAAAAACCGATGTGCACAACTTCAATCCTTCTACTATCTAAAATCAGTAGAATTTCTGCTCCAGCTTTAGCCGTCTCTGAGCCTTTGTCTAGAAACGAAAGCCTATAAATTTTCCTTTAAAGGGAAATAACTCAAAACCGGAAGTGGCTTTTTGAAATTTTAGACAATATTCTGATAGAGTTTATTAACGTCTATACCATCTGAAAATTTGAGCGAAATCCGTTGAGAAATGACCGAGATATGAGACCTCAAAGTTACGGTCTAGGAAGCAGAAGAAAAAAAAGAATAACTAGATGAGATCTCGTTGTGAACAACGAGTGGGTCTTCCGTTCGATTCTTGATGAGATAAGATAAGATTTTGATTGAGATTTTTTTACAATGATAATTTTCTTAAGAAAAACGATTGCGCTGCCGTGATGGTATTTTTGAAATATTGAACGTTAAACTGTCATAAATTCTAATTCTGGCCCCTTTTGGTCCTTTATGTAAGGGACCAGCCCTTTTTTCTTCAAATAATCTTGAAGATCTCATGCTTTTTAACACTTTTTGTTCAACAAGTGTTCAGAGATTGTTTTTCATTTTCGAATTATTAGCAAAAGAAATATTTAGGGGCCAACCCTTCAACTCCCTAATGGGGACGTTTAGCGAAAAATGAAAGGTTGCATAATGTTTAGAACATGATTTTAAACATCTTTTGTTCAATATTGCTTCTCAAAATATTTCTCCCTTTCGAGATATGAAGCATCAAAGAATAAGCATTCTGGCCCCTTGTGGCCCCTAATTATGTACCATACGACATGAAAACCATAATATATAGTTGTAGATGGTTGAGATAAACATCTTTGCTTCAGTAATGTATTACAAAATATTAACTGATAGAGAGTTATCGAAAAAACACTTTTGGCCCCTTTTGGTCCCTAATTCGAACGCCCAGCCCCCTTTTCGGGATTTTATCTGAAAGATCTTTAGATTTGGAACATTTTGTGTTCAACAACTGTTCAGAAATTCTTTTTCATTTTTGAGATATTAGCAAAAGAAATATTTAGGGGCCAACCTTTTAACTCCTTAATGGGGACGTTTAGCAAAAAATGAAAGGTTGCATATTGTTCAGAACATTATTTTGAACATCTTTTGTTCAAGACTGCTTATCAAAATATATCTCCTTTTCGAGATATAAACCATCAAATATCTAGCATTCTGGCCCCTTGTGGCCCCTAATTATGTATCATTCAACATAAATATCATAATATATAGTTGAAGATTGTTAAGCTTAACATTTTTGCTTCAGTAATGTATAACAAAATATTGATTGTTAAAGAGTTATCGAAAAAAGACTTTCGGCCCCTTTTAATGCTTAATTTGATGAGTCAGCACTTTTTTCTTGATGTTATATTTAAGATCTTGTCATTCTGCACAAATTATGTTCAGTATGTTTAAACAAAAAAATTATAATTTAAAAGATATGATGCAAAATGTTTCAAAAAATCACTCATAAAACGTGTCCTTAATTTTGACCCCTACCGAGCTTCCATACAAAGCACTTCCGGAAGATTTGAAAGTATAGGTGCAAAACTACAATATGTTGTCTATTAGTCCTGAAAATGACAGCATTCTAGCTTTTGTCGTTTTTGAGTTTTTGTCAGGACAAAATGGTCATTAAAAAGTCGATTAAAGGGCGATAACTTCCGACCGGTAGTGAGTTTTTGAGATTTGAACAAAAAAGGATCATCTTCAGATCAAAACACATTATCACTGAAAATTTCATTAAAATAGATCAAACCGTTTTTGAGATATCGTCTGCACAAAAATTGTAAAGAAAAAGCGGAATAATAATAATAATAAAAGTGAAAAAGAAACAATACAATAATAGAAGGGTCTTCCGTTGGAGACGGAAGACCCTAATAATCTTTACCAACAGAATCAGTAGAAGGTCTTCCGTTGGAAACGGAAGACCTTAATAATCTTAATCATTAGAATCAGTAGAAGGTCTTCCGTTGGAAACGGAAGACCTTAATAATTGAGAAAAAATCTGTCGAAAAAGATGTGAATATAAAGGCCTTACAATAACTATATACAAAGAGTAGTCAGCATAAATAAACCTCAGTCTTGCTTTTGAACGTCGTAATGCATTTTCTTAAAGAATTTATTTTTATTTTTGACGAAATGCCCAATCCTTAGTAGCTGATTTTAACCCTCAGTGCTGTTAACATGTTATGAAAGATTTCCATAAACCCTGTCATGATAGGTAAACAAAAAAGAGAGCAGGGCACCAAGTACGTTCAAAAAGTTAAATATGCTGGATGCCTCTCATGGAATCATGGTATCAAAAATTGTAATAATCAAAGATCAGAAGGGATGAAAAATTCGTCAGACATATATAAAAAGAGTTAAGTTTCACTTTAATATGTGACCAAGCATTCCGAGCTAAGAGGGAAAAAATGAAAGGGTTACAACAACAAATAATATGTGCAAAATCACACTGTGTTTTGTAATTAAAACAAGCTTTTTTTTAAAAAAAGCTTTTTAAATCTTTATCTTTGTCTAGTACATGTAATAACTATTTCAATTACTTACATTAGAAAATCAGCAATTAAAATAATCATTTTCATTGATATTTAATCGCAAAAAGCTACTTGAAAATTCAAATTCAGGATAAGACTGCCCTAGGCCTGAAATTCGAACATGTATGAACGTGTCATTAAAATCACTTCATAGCTTCTTGTTTAGTTACATATCCATGTCGGACAGCTTCAATAAAAGTTTAAATGTAATTATAGGCATTTCATTTTGATAAATTATCAGTCAGTGATATTATTTTAAAGTGAATACCTATACAACATTTACATGTATATACGTGTATAAGAGAGACAAAGAAAAAGACAGGGAGGGAGATCTTGTGTCCATTTATACGTTATCACAAAAGCAGATGTGATGGTCAAACCCTGAGGATTTCCGGCCAAAATTATCCTCGATTAGATAAATATAACTGCACTTTTCTTTATAACAGATTTAATTGTTTGGAATAGAGTAAGTAAAACACACCCTTCTTCACAATCCCCAATATGTACATACTTCCTTTAATAAATCCTTGATTTGTAATTGCTCTTTGCTGAAATAGCTGAAATCTATTAGTTATTTGGTAATTATTCAGAAGAGACTACACACATTCAAATGGCCCAGGTGCAGCGTGAGTACTTTTTCTCGTTTGTTTTAATTACTTCCTAAACATTCTTATAATTAATGAAATCGTATCAAATATACTATCAGGAAAATTAATTAAATTTGAAAAATACCTTCCATTTGAAATCAATGTTAGAACCATCGGTATTATGTCCATGTCTATCAATGCCTTTTTATACCACTGACCTTCTTGATACAAGTTTGATGTTTAAGATTTAAAAGTATTATATCTACATCCTATTGATGCAAATGAAAATCAGTTTTAGTCTAATACAGCAGATATTTTTATTATAGATATTTCTACCTTGTGCATTAACATTTATTTATTTTGAATTTCTGCATGAATTAGAAGGTTACGGTCAAGGTCTAGTAAATTAGAATGCCTTTTGATGCTAGATCCAATATGACGTCATTATTGACTCAAGCTGACTTTAAGTTTAGTAGAAATAATGTACAAAACAAAACATATCCAATGCACTCAACTTGAAATCATATGAAAAGTAACCTCAATATCTATATTCAATTTAAAATCAGTTATAGAAAAAAAACCTAAGTAAAATTTGAATAAAACGCTTTTCTGAGAGACTGTAGACAATATTACTACATTTCTTTTCACTGAGATGGGAAAAGAACTTCAGAAATTTATTATCGACTTTCCTCTTTTTTCATTAGGAATAAGAGTTTAAAATGTTTTAACATCTAGTTAATGAAAAAAAAGATAAGTCCGAAAACAGCCTATTTCACCGAGCCTTATTTGTAAAGTATCATTTAAAAGAACGTGTTTCTCAAATCTTAAAATCCTGTATGCACGATCTTTGACTAAATCTTGACTTTAACTGTGATATTCAAAATGATGAAGGAGATAATGATGATGAAGGTAATTTAATTTTTTTTAAAAACAGCCACTGCACGAGGACCTCACAATGTCGTGGTAAGTCAATAAGATAAATTCATTGTTTAATTCTTTTAATAAAATCTACTGTCTCATCAAAATCAAAATGAATGCTCATTATTTTTGTTAATGACGTAAGTTTTTTTTTTCCAATTACTTACAATTCATTCCATTTTTTTTATTTATTTATTTTAATAAAATACTAGTATTATTGATATTAATAATAAAAAAAAGGAAAAATAACTCATTACAATTTCTTAGATGTAAGTCAAGGTATAGGTTTCACTCCCATTTTCAAATGAAAATTTACTGTTTATGTAAAAGACTCAATAACGCAGAGTTATTCAAAATCGAGTGTACTTAAACAAAAAGTAGTGGGACCGAGAGGCTGAAATATGAAAATATAACTATTAATATAATATAATGAAAGAGACTGATTTTCATTTTCTTTCGCCATTGTAAGAAGAATTTTCTTTTGTTAAACCTTTTACATTCATTTGTTTTAAAATTTACATCTATTCAAATCTACACGAGAAGAAATCTAACATTTCTAGCGTTACCGAGCGGGCAATAAAAAACACATCATCGATGCTAAGCAGCTGAGTGATCCGGTCGATGAGATGTTTGATCACTTACGTCATACGTAAACGTAGGTGAAAATTTATCCCTTTGTCTTTGTTGGTTCAACGGAACTCAGGTTATATCACGGATGGCAGTATGTATACATGTATGTCCAAAAAATTAAAATGAACTTTATAACATTTATTGACTGTGTTCTCGTGCGAAATGCGTTTTCTCGGCCCTGGAACCAAGTTGTCTTACGGCCTCAGGCAAACAACGGTTTGGTTCTTGGTTCTGAGAAAATGCATGTTAGCCTTGAACTCAGTCTATAAATGTGTATTAATTTCCTGTGTTTTTAAATACTTAGACATATTTTTGAAAAAAAAAACATTCAAAAGTAATCCAACAATATCCGTTCATGATTATAGACATGTATTTTTATTTTTATTATTTTTTGGGGGGGTGGGGGGAGGGCTGTTAGCTTTCATATTCTTTTTTTTTTATCGCTTTATTGTACTTCTTAATTCGATTAAAACTATATTTAATTATCATGACATAAAGGTCCTCAAATATTGTGTAAGAAATACATGTATAACTTTGTTCCCTAATGACGAGGAAGACCTATAACATGCAGTGTGACGTATACTCATACTTCCTTTAAAGTATAGGTCACACATCATGTAAAATAGAGAATGTCGTCGACATAATTCTATACATGGAAAACTCTCTAATCCGACATCTATGCAATCCGTCACACTGTGAATTCCGACGGAAAATTTCTTTCCAAATATATACTCACCGCCAATGGAAACGCAACACCCTAATTTTAGGATTAAAATTATATACAGGTTATAACTATGTACCAAAAAATTTAGGACATCTTTTACTTTGCCAAATCAGTTATTTAACGGTTGAATGAATTTCTTTCCTTTACCGGAAGTTGTTATTTAGCCCTCTTAACAGAATTCAAAATTTTCCATTTTTAATAAAATTTTAACAATATTTTGGGTTTCCAAGGTTTTGAAACTGTTAATCATAAGTATAGTACTAAAAGGCCGGGAAAATTTTTTTTTTCCAAATTTGGATGTTAATTTACACTGTTCAACACGACACCCTCTCTATTCCGGTACAAAAATTGTCTTTCAGAGCATGTCGGTTTAGACAAGTGAGATTTCATTTTAAGGTCACACAGCCTGTCCCGGCCACGGTTGTCATCACTCTGGTCCCCGCTGTACTCAGATGTTTGTGTTGTTTCTGGCCGACCAGAGTCGTCGTTAATTATTCTTCATGCAGGGTACGTGTACTTTGAAAGGTAGTGTTAACTATCTTCAAAGAGAATTATATGAGAGAAACTTATTCAACAAAGTAACAACTAGCAGACACGTTGCAAATAAAAGGGCAAAAATGTGATATGTCATTGAAGGCATATTTGCTCGAATAAGAAATATATTTATTTGAAGATCATTTTAATATTTGATTCTAAAAAGATATATTTATCATGATAATAACAGTTCTTTTTTATTTTTTTTTAATCATGGTCTCCTATCTAAAAAAAATGTAGTAAAACACGGAATGATTTTTAATAAATGTTACGATTATAAATATTTCAAAAATACATATTTTTTCAATATACAGGCAGAAGAAGCAGCATCTATTTGCGAGATTTTCGAAGCGATAGATCAGTCTTAATGGATGTGTCATTTTGTCCTAATCTCTCTTGCAGTCGGGTGAACGGAAAAGATGACAGGTTAACTAATGAGGTGAATTTAATTCATTATTATTTTTTTTTTTTCAGTATTCCCGGTGTAACGTTGAATATTGACCCGAGTTGAAAATTGACCCGGGGGTCATTTTTCAACGTTGAATATTGAACCGCGGTCATTTTTCAACGTTGAATATTGAGACTAAAAGTCGTTGAATTTATACCCGGGGTCATTTTTCAACAGCTTGATAATTTTTTTTCTTTTTTTTTACACCTGATGACGTCAACAAGTTGAAAATTGACCCTGTTGAATATTGACCCCACTCAAAGTTTGAACATTTTTTTTTAGCTGGGAATTAAGTTGTTTAACGGGATTTATCAGTATCACTTTATTTATATTACGGTTTCAATTTTTTCCCTTTTCAAGAATAATAGAAATAAACATACAGTATCACCCCGTGTAAATATGTACATTTTGATCAGTGCAAGGTTTCAGTTATCTTTGCAGGGGCGTAGCAACGGGGGGGGGGGGGGTGGCAGGGGGGCCTGGACCTCCCAACTTTTTTTCTCAACCTTACCTATACTATAGCAATTGTTAACTGAAAACCTGGTTGGCCCCCCCCCCCCCAGTTTTAGTGATGTGTCGAAAATGAAGTTTTAGAATTGGTACTGAAAGTAGCTGACACTGTTAACACTGAAAAAAGTTAGCCTCTACCCCCCCCCCCCCCCCCCCCCCCCACGAAATAGGATTTTCGACTTTGGGCAACTTTAAACCCCCCCCCTTTTTTTTTCTTTTGCTTGTCAACTTTTTCAGGTAAGTAAAAAAAAAATTCTCCGGCTGCCCTCCCCCACTTTCAAAAACGATGCTACGCCACTGCTTCAAGCATGACAACTTTATTTTTTGAAAATACTTTCCAAAATCCATGGCATCCATAAATAACTACAAAAGAACGAATAGGTATGACGGCGTATGCGTGCCTTTTTAACAATGTAGAATTTTTTTTTAAATCGTTTGAACGACTTAAGAAAACGTTTGTACAATTTAATAAATCGTTTGTACAATTTGTTTGTTAAATCGTTTGTACAATTTATTAAATCGTTCATACGATTTATCAAAATAGTTTGTACGTTTTTTTATAAATCGTTTGAACAATTTAGGAAACCGTTTTTACGATTTAAGAAAACGTTTGTAGGATTTTAAAAAATAGTTCGTACGATTTAATAAATTGTACAAACGATTTAATAAACAAATTGTACAAACGATTTATTAAATTGTACAAACAATTTACTAAATTGTACAAACAATCTTTAGATCGTACAAACGACTTATTTAATCGTACAAACGACTTATTAAATCGTACAAACGACTTATTAAATTGTACAACCAATTTGTTAAATCGTACAAACGTATTTTTTTAAATCGGGGAAGGGGGGGGATGTCACTCACTTTAATGAAATTTTCTAAAAGGACTCCTGCAATATAGTAAACTATATGATCACAAGAAAAAAAACATGAAGTCAATATGCATTTCAGATTCTATAAATAGTAACTCAAGTCTTTATGCTGTTATATACTTAATCATGTGATCAAGTTTGAGCCAATCAGAGAGCTTAGAATTAAATGTGATATCACCTTTTCGTGCTAAATAGATGCTATCACCTATTTGAATAAGTGGTATCACCTATTCGAAAAGGTGATATTACCTATTTGAGTTTCTTACAACAGTCATTAATGAATGCTCCCTATAATATATATTATACTACACTGGAACCAAGAAAATTCGGACTACCCAGTTTTCATGCATTTTCTACAATTTTCATGTTTTATACATGATATATAAGTGAAATAAATTAATTTGTAAGCAAAAAAACTACAGCTGTTCGACGGGAAAAGGTGATATCACCCAATCGAATAAGTGATATCACCAATTCGAATAAGTGATATCACCTTTTCGAATTGGTGATATCACAAATTCAAATCAAATAGGTGATATCATCTATTGGAACAGGTGATATCACTTATTCAAATAGGGGATACTACTTTTTGCAGTTAATACCAAAACGGGGCCTCATACCTATGAATTAAATAACAGTAGTGAAAACTCTAACATAAATATGTGTTTTTATGCTGTTGAATTTTGAACCGGTTTCATGATCAAAATTCCACGACCTGGCTCAGTTTTCAACGGATTAGGGTCTAAATTCAACACCTTCGGTCTCCGTATTCAACGTTGAAAAATGACCCCCGGGTCAATTTTCAACCCGGGTCAAAATTCAACGTTACACCGGCTTACTTTTAAAATCGTCTTTAAAAAAAATTTAACAAGAATCCCATTTGATTTTGTCTTATAACTAATGAGTTATAGAAATTCATACACCCTCCCCCTCTTAACAATGATTTAAGTGCATAGATTTAACATTCTCATGTGACTGATTTGAGTATTTTCGATCATGCGATTAAAGTAATTCTGAGTATTATGATACTGTCCGTTTTTTCCCCTTTCAGTATGTACATGTATAACCAATTTTAGGGGGGAAAACATCATCTATTTGATCATACATCTACTTTGAAAGAAGTTAGCAAGTTAAATAAATGACGGTTTCTGATTCTTCTTAAACAGAAAGATATAACCACGAAACGAAACTTAACCCGTGCCCTTGTAAAATAACACCCCCCCCCCCCCAACAGGAACGGTTACGTCGTTTCATCATACAATGTATATGACACTTCATAAACAAAACAATCAACATTCATCGTGAGTTATGGTTCTTAACACAAATACTAATAAATTACGTCTGTTCCCTTAGTTTTGGTTTGAAGTATCAAAATTATTAATGTCTGTTTTCTTTCATTCCTAATTCTGAGGGTTGTTAGAGAATTTTACAGATCATGCCTAATTAAAACATTGTGTTTTTTATATACATCATAGAGTACACGTTAAAGCCAAAATTTGTCCCTTATTATATTGAAAAATTTTGTGGGTATTAAAATTGTAAAAGTTTTTAGTTCAGAACTTAAAAAGTTGTTTGCTTTTAAAACCAGCACTAATTTGAATCCTAGACTTCCATGAAAGCCACTGGAGTGTGCATTATTAAAATATTTTCCTGATATTGTCTTGTAGAATGTAATCATATATGAGATTCTTTTCTCTTTGGACGACAAGCTTGCCTATCTCAGATTTTTACACATAAACGACATCTGGTACTAGTTTATAAAATATATATTTCTCCATTTTAATCAATAATTTATCAAACAACTTTTTAAGGGTACTTACCACAAACAAAAAATGGATGCACGGGTTGATATGTATTTTTTGACTGATTTTGATTTGTAATGGCATAGATAATAAATCTCTGAAATATAAAGAAAACGTAGGATTTCCTTGGTGCTTAGATTTGAGATTTTATTTTGCCTTTTATATAATTCCATACAAAATTTTGCTCCATTTTTTAACTTTATGGCATAATCTTATAAAATTCTCCCACTCTACTTGGTAAACATTATTCACGTTGTCAATTTAAATGTAAATCTATGAGAAATGATGCTGATTTCTGAAAAAAAGTCAGTTTGTGTTATTTATCTTTAAAGTCCGAAGTATCCAAATTATCATAATTGAATTAAAATTTTACGCAATTCATTTTACGAAGTTCTTTAAACTAAGAAAAAAACCAACACAATTTATGAACGACAATTAAACAAGGGTATATTTTTCTTAAGGACTGTAAAGTGCAAATGGGGTTGCCCCAACGGACCAAACAGACTAGTGGCGATTCTGACGGTGACATTTCATTAACAGGTACCTGGCGCCAAAGGAAAGGTAGTCTATTTTTTAATGTACCATTAATAAAGAAATTGTGTTTGATATTTCCTGTGCGTTTGGTCTTGGTTACTCGTTATTCACACCAATTTTTCTTCAGTTTTGTTTGCCATGGTACTTCAAGAACGAAGTGTACAATGTTGAAACTAATATATTTAAATTATTAAAAATCTCTATGTGATTGCTGAATGATTTATCAATATACAATATTGCGTAGCTATTTTTTAATAGGAAATGTAATAATGATGAAAAGAAAGGGGAGGGGGTTATATTAACTAAAAATGTGTGAAATGTGGAGTTGGAATGGTTCATATTTAAAAAGTTTTTTTTCCAGATTCTCAAGATATATAGCGGACACGAAAGGATGAAATGACTACCTAGACCTTTGATCTGTTACCTTAAGCTGCACAAATAGGGGTCTTTATGAAGCCATCGCTGTATAAAGTGTCAATGTAAAAGCTCTGAGGCTTCTCAATACAGCCTACACCGGATGTATTGAAATTCAGTTGACCATGCAATTTATTTCAATATATCCGTAATTCAATATAAGCGAAATCGTGAAGCCGCCATTTTTACAGGATCAATTCCGATTTAAAATAAAGAAGAACAAACCCGAGCATATTTTGTCATGGTTTAACTATAACAAAGAATAGATTACATAGTCTAGAATACAATTCCCGGAAAATTTAAATATTATTTTTTATTTCTGTTTCATTGAAAAGACAATCTTCAACCTCATTATTATATTAAGTAAAGGCAAAAGTTCGAAGAAGCAATTTTTAGCACAAAGGTCACAGTCAAGGTCACAAGGTCATTGACCTTGGTGTCTGTTGAAAGTGCGTCATTAATGGAGTAAACATACCTTATTAAAAAAAGCCTCTGTTTCTTACGGTTCAAAAGTTATGGCGAAGGTAAAAATTGACAACAGACAGACAAACAGACAGATAAAGAACTAGACAAACAAAGAAAACCAGAAAAACAGGACAAAAACAATATGCGCCCGAAAAAAAAATCGTTTGAATAAAAAGAATAGTTTTTCTTTTGCATCACTTTTCCTAAATTCTTTCAGATTTTGATGAAATGGAGCAAAATCAGACCGTCTTTCTTACAGCTTAAGGTAAGGTTTGCGTTAACAGGGAGATAACTCTTGCGAATCACCAAAGCGTTTGAAACAGGCAAATTTCTCAACATTTACTGTATTTTACTGTCTTCCAACTATAAATAAGAAACTGCATGGTTACAGTTTTTGATGGAATTAAAATAAATTAAAAATGCTGTTTCCGTTCTGCATGACAAATTCATTACTAGACGCTGATTCGGGGATTTTTTTCCTTAAAGGGACCAACCTATAAAAACAATAATTCTTACCCAAACGTAAAATTGCTTTAAAAAGTGTCCGTATGTTGGTGGGAGGTCAAGGTCAGTGACGTAGCATCGATTTTGAAAGGAGAGGGGGCAGCCAGAGACAAAAAATTACCTACTTGAAAAAAAAGAAACTTGACAGGTAAAATAAAAAAAAAAAAACAACAACAACAGGAAATTGCCAAAACTTGAAAATCCTATTCCGCTGGGGAATGGGGGTGGGTTGGGGTTGGAAGGTTCAACTTCTTTCAGTACCATATCTTTTCCAAATATTATACTACATTAAGCTTATTTGGCCTCACTCTATAACCAAAAAGTGGGGAGGGGGGCTTTCAATAGCGCAGACATTTTACATTTTAAATAGTAAAAGATTATGTTTAAAATGAGTGGGGGGGGGGGGGAGTTTCCCCCGGACAACCTGCTGATACGTGCCTGAAGATCATTCTTATTTAATACAGTGTATATACACTCAGTCTGTATAATTATATTTAACAACTCCGCAAATTCCAGAAGGGGGGGGGGTGCGGATCCTATCCCACCATCATTATAGATCAAAGCATGTTCATCGTGAAAACAATGGTTGTTTTGATAGATAAAAAATGTATAATTTAAAAAATATTATAAATAATGTATCCGACCCATATTTGGATTTTTTTATATTTCAGAGCACTTTAAATAGAGTCTATTAGAGAAGAAAAGAAAACAATAAAAAAGTTAATAAATACTAAGAATATGAAACAAGTGTTGTGGGGGAAAGATGTACTCAGTATTTAATCATTATTAACAAAACTCGATCTTAAGCTTTAACTTAAATCTTAAACTAGGCCAACAAGACAACTTTTAAGAATGGAGTAAAATCAAAGGGGGATAACTCTTCAAGGAAAGGTGAAAATATAGGGACCTTACTTTCCGCCCGTACGCACTAAAACTTTAACATGAAAATCATGTCTTAATATACATTGTACTGAGTACTCAGCACATGCAAAATCACAATGCATTTTAATCAATTAGATCTGAGGCTAATATGGGTCGGATAAGATCATATCGTATTTTGGAGAACATTTTAAGGTTCCTCATATGTAACCAATTATATAGAAATTTAGCTTATAAAATAGCATAAGATGATGCAAGTGTTGTTGTGGAAAGATGTACTGTTATTTAATCAATTAACAAAATGATCTTAAACTTTAACTAAAATCTTAAACTAGGCAAACAAGAAACTTTTAAGAATGGATTTTTATTGAGTAAAATATAGGGATAACTCTTAAGGAAAGGTGAAAATTTTATTAAGGAAAAAACTTTTGACATAATGAAAATCATGTCTAAATATACATTGTATAAGGTACTCGGCCAATGCAAATTAGCAATGCATTATAATCAGTTGAACTTGATAGATATAGACTTTGAACGTGAATTTTTTAAAGGCAAAAAATGAATATTACCTGTATTCGTGATTTACATCAGAAAGAGTTACCCCTCTTACCAGGGATTTGTATTTGGTTAGTATTTGGAATATTTTTATATTTTTTTTCTAGATTCAATCAATTTAAATTGACAATGTAACACAGTATACTATTTATTTATTTTATTAGATTCTCTATAAACAGTAAACGATTTATATATCTGGAGTAACAGATAGCAGAATGGCTCCAATAAGGTACGGCGGAGAAGATGCCCCGCCGTGTGATTTGTGCGAGACTATGAAGGTAGAACGACAATATGTTTTTTGTAACGTCAAATTCTGCACGGCGTGTCTTGGAAAACATTTCTCAGATTCATCTAAAAGCCACAATGCTGTACCACTAAAGCAAAGACTTTCTGCCTACCAACGATGTTACAGAAACGACAAAAGACAATGCAGGCAGTTCTGTGGGGACTGTGAGGTTAATTTTTGCGATAAATGCCATGGACACGAGAGGCATAAAATATGGGAGGTACCATATCTATTCGAAAACAAATCGAAACTATGGCGACGATAGAAATTGTTACCAAACGTTATAACAAAAATGTACACCTTGGGTCGGAAATAATTTTATTTGTAAAATTTGCAGTGCTTAAAATAAAGTACTGTAACCGAATTATAAAATTATATATTAATTACTTGTGGTTATACAAGAGAACACATGTCTTTCATAAGAAATGAAACAAGAAATGATGTAGATGATGCGTATTGGTTTGTGTCATTTTCAATTTATGGTGCCATCTATTAACAATCGGAAACATATTATGTTCAAAGACAGTTGGAAATAATTCATAACTAAATACCAATATCACTATTGTTTACCAAGTTAAATAGAGAAAATATTTCTGCTATTCCAAGTTCTTTTGAGTCTTCTGTTGTGTTGATGTTGTTGTTGTTTTCGATCTTTTAGCAGTTATCTTGCATTAAAACACCTATACCCACATACACATTTATCACAAAAAATCATTAAATTGTAGTGCTTGATAATAGGATTTGACTTATATTTAATATCATTGACAAGCATTTCGATATAAGCGAAACTTGATATGATTTATACAATTTTAGTATATCTATCAGAAATACACAGGTAACTGTCAGAATCTCAGATTTTTGAAATGTTTACCATTACTTAATGCAGAATTAAGTTAATTTATACTTTATATCACAAAAACTTTTATTTCGAAAACTATAAATATACGTCGAATTAGTATATTGTAAGTCGGAAGTCCAAACCATAGCCCAATCCATTCAACAGTTATGGCAAGGTAATACGGTAGTTTTTGCGGACAAACAGATAGACAGCAAGTCAGACAGACGGACAGACAGGACCAAAACAATATATCCCCGAGTCTTCTATTACGGGAGCATTGAAATATGACAAATTAGTTTGTATTTATTACCCCCTAGCAAATAAATACTTTTTAAAACAAAAGCGAACAACTACCGTAATTACACGAGAACTTACTTTTTAAACGCTTTATTACCAACAAATAAAAAATACCCATACTGCTTATAAGTTCTCGTGGAATTAGTTGTTCGCTTTTGTGACATATATGTCTCTTCTCGAATGGGGTGTAAAACAACATACCAATGGCGGATTTAAGGGTGGGGCGCACCCGGCGCGCGCCCCCTAAAATTATCAAAGTTAGCGTAAATCAAATATGTCCACTTGGTAGACCTCAGAAAGGAATACCCTTCAAAATTTAGAATCCAGGACCTTCCGGGGGCTTCGCCCTCGATGTTAACCCTGCACCAGGGCTTTGCCCTGGACCCAGACCCCTTGCCTAATTTTGGCGCTCCCTTAACTCCAAATCCTGGATCCGCGCCTGCATACAATCAATCAATATCTAAAAATCTCAAACATATCATTAATGTCATCTCTAGGAAACTTATATGTACAATCAGAACATTTTTAACGACGAACATTATTCACATCTATTGAATATTATAGATTGCCTATACCTTGTAAGAAAATCATTATCAGTCAGTATAACAAGCATATAACATCTGCAGACATCTTGAGCAGTGGCTGTTCCATCAACGATATATGTACAAGGACTTACATTTTATTAATACAATATTTCATCTACCAAATCCTGATTTAAATGCATTAAATTGTGAAAAAACGATTTGTGTTAGTCACCTGTTAGTACGTGAATTAACATAACAGCAATTGCCGGATAAAAATTATACACTACTGGCTTACGCGGGTTATGCATATTTTCTTAAACAGCTGCAACATAGTTAATTCCCATGTTTTAAGAACCAAAGAAAACACTTTTGATTATGCATGTTTTGGAAACTTCATCAAGAAGTATACATGTATACTCAAATTTGGTCAAATTATTACCACTTGTGGTAGGATAAAGACTTTGGAGGTGATTAAAACATTCATGATTTTTTTTTTATTTACATGAATATACATTTCAAGGCATTTTGCATTACCCATGAATTTTAATATCTCACTGTGATCCAAGGACTCAAATTAAAAATACATAGCATGCGCGTCAATCGCCAATAGGGGGGGGGTTAGGGGTTCAGGAAAATTCCCCCCCCACACACACACACACACACACGAAATAATCAATTTTTTTTTTCACGCTTGGGCGAGTATGCAATATTTCTCTCTCTTCTCTTTTTTTTTTTTTGCTTGTCAAGGAAATTCTGGGATTGCATTTTTTTTTGACTTGGGTGGACCCCCCCCCCCTGGAAAAAATTTCTGGATCCGCGCCTGACATGTGACATTTCATGTACAGCTGGTACGTATCACATGTCTGTAGACAGCCCGGACAAATACAATGTACAGGCTTCTGATCAAGGTCTTGCTGATTCCAATTAAAACCCTTAACTTTTTTCTCTTGTTTTGAGTCAAGATCTACTAAATGGAAGGTGCCTACAGGTGTATCAAATGAATGGAATAAATTCCTTTGATGATGCTTCACAACTTTAACTTGGTCAAATAAGATGTTTCGGGACCTAATTTGTAGGAAAACAAGATTTTTTTAACTGCCATTTTCAATAAGAATTAAGAAAACTAGACAGGATTATACTAGGAGTTTTTGTATCCAGATTGCCTACAGTCTCTCAGATAACGGTAATTTGTATGTTCGTGGCCTCCTCTTCAAAATGATAGGTATTGGGATTATTACTTTTTAAATGATTCCTGAAAATACCCTGTTTTATGTGTAATTCTACTAAAACTGTAATTGAAATTGATAAAAACGTCATAAATGATTTTAGCAAATAGTTAGACTATGGTCATTTACTTTGTATTTGATCTTGACCTTAATTTATTGTATTAATAAGACACCACATAACCTTTTTTTTACTCACTTCAGACTTTAATAAGCTATTGACATTGTTGAAAAGGATCAAAATTTACCATTAGATAGGACTATGCAGGGACATTTTTCCTCTGAACTATGTATCTATTTAAAAGTATTTTCAGCAAAGATAGATAAAAAGTTGTCCAAATCATTATTTCTGAAAATAGGGTGGATTCACAGCTGTCGATTAAAGAACGAGGGCGCTTTTGACTGGCTTTCGGCAGAAAGTGAAAATTTTATCGACATGTCACATGAGATTTTAACATTTTTTTTTTATTTATCGGGCTCCTGTGCAATAGGAAAGGGAAATATTTTCCCGAAATTGAGCTTTGAATTGCTAAAAAAAAAAAACTTTAAAATTGGACAGATCAGACATTTGGTACAAAATGGTACATTCTTGGTCACTGACGGATAAAGTTGTAAAATTCCAGTCAGGCCTATGAATTTCTAATCACTAAAAGTTGTTTGAAATTGACAGTTTGTCTTGACATAGATCCAAGGTTATTCCGTAGAGATAAGGGTCACTGACAATTTTTTTTTCCACGCTATACGAATTAATGAATAAAAATCATTGGAGGCTCGTACTTGAAACATAGATAATTTATACACCATGTAATTAGAAGTTGTGTCATGACCTTGATGAATGCAAATCAAAGGTCACTGACAGAGAGAAAAAATGTTCAAGCATAATTTTGTAATTATGATTCATAAGATGCTCCTCTTGAGAATAGAAGTTGTTCTTATAAGTCAAAAGTTATTATAAAGACTCAAACACACAGCTCACAACAACCTCTCTTCTGAATAACATTTACCATTGTGCAAAATATTTTACATTTTGTAATGTATTATAAGGCTCCCATAGCAAAACAAGACATATGTCTTATATTCTATGAGCTCACACACAGCGGTTTCTGAATAACATTTGATATGACGAGTTATTCCTCTTTGCACTTTACCGTAAAACAATGTATTGCAAAACATGGACATTATGGGAGGCGATGGGTATCATTTAGTGAGCTCATTGCTTTCAGTACCTCTAGTTCAAAATATTAGACGTAAAATATCCATGTTAGAAAAGACTCTCTTTCACTCTGCAAAATTCAAGAAGGGGGGGGGGGGGTCCACCTCTGGAATCACCCCCTTTGGATCTGCCAATGAGTTCATTCATTTTTGCAAGCACTTGTTTGGTTTTTTTTTCATCAGCAGCAGCAACCGATCTTTTTGTGGTTGTGTTATAAAGAACACACGGAGAAATGAGACGTCATTTTTTTTACAGTTCTGTAAACTAACTTAAATGTTATGATAACAGTGGCGGGTTTAAGGGGGGGGGTGTCAAAGTTAGCGTAAATCACAGTTTCGTCTCAAAAAATGTAAATATGTCTACTTGGTAGACCTTATTTTTACCCTTCAAAATCTTAAAAATCCAAGAGCTGGAGACGTAAAGGCAGCCTCAGACCCCTTGCCTAGTTTTGGGACCCCCTCTAACTTCAATTCCTGGATCCACCACAGGATAACATGTATAAAATCATAAGTAAAATATTTTAAAAACTTGCTTCAAACCGAGCATTAATAATTGTTTATATTTTGTTTCAATTTCATCGTCATTTCTCATCAGGTACTTGATAATTTATGGTTATATAAAAAGGGTACTTCCCAGCCGGGGAGTGTGTACGATATGAAAGGAAATCGTGATGATTTTCCCGATAATAATGACGTGGAAAAAGTTGCAAGGTGAATAAAAATGGGAAAGTTTTTCAACTAGTAAAAACTATTTTGAATGTACTGCTGATCGATGTGAATGACAAAAGGATAATTTTCCCTATACATTTTTTCAATCATACGCCTTGTAGTAAATCTTATTTTGAAGAAATCATGGGAATTATCACGTGACATAGATCTAGGGTATCAGCACGTGGTTATCTTGTGAGGTCTACATCTTCATTAATTAATTCTTATCATTGACCTTATTACTTTGATAAATCCAAATTTGATGAACAAATAAACAAAATTTCTATTTATTTAATTAAAAAAATATATTTTATTTATTTTGCTTTGAAGATAGACTGAAATAAAAATGATCTATTTCAGCTCTGGATGTCGTGTTTCCCGTGCATGGATGATTTTAAAATCTTTGATATCTTATGATAAATTTTGCTTAGCCAATTTTATTAATATATACTTAGTATAGACATGTATCAATTTTCTTGTATGTATATGTGATTTTCATTAATTTTTTTTCCATTGCATCAATAGGATTTCGTGGTTAGTGGACATTTTACCTTTTTTTCTTTTTTTTTATGCTTGTCAGGTTTTCTGTGAAAGTACTTTTTTTTTTACACTTAGCCCCCCCCCCCCCACTTTATCGACGCCAATGTTATGATAAAGAAAGGGATTTGATGCTTTTCAATTTTACTTGTAATGTATATAGTATGGGTTTTGATTTTGAACGATTATTTTTTTTTTCCTATGGTGTACATGATGAATAATGTAATAAATTTATAATTAGTGAAAAATGAGTCCAACAAGCCCGGGGGTTGAATATCGGGGGGGGGGGGGGTCCTGTCCACAAGTACCTGCGATGTGTGGTGTTGTCTCCTTGATCTTTCAGGATAACCAGCTTTAAGACACCAAGAAATACTTACCAACACT